TAAGGTGCCAGGCTTTTGGTCAAGTAGTTTGCATGTACTATCTAGATGTTCCTCAAGAAGTGGACCATGAGTGACTGACTTCACAAGCATCGAGGGGTGATGGTGGTGGGGGAGGACAATGAGAAACGCAGATTCCTGGGCTTTATTCTAGACCCATGGCATTAGCATCCTAGAGTAGGAATCAGGGCTCTAGCATTTTAATAAGTACCTTGGTAATCTTTATGCACATGAAGTTTTAGAGCCACTGTGCTAATTTATAGTGCAAGTGTGACTCAAATGTAATTTGCTTTCCTTCCACTCCTCTGGTTTCTGTGCTAAAATTCTCATGACAAAAAAAAAAAAAGAGCAAAATCCTGTGAACTGTAAGACATGGACCAACTCATGTCCCTTTTAGTTGCTGGTGATTACAAATGTATCTTTATAGCCAAACTGCTTTTGAGGCACTATTTGTGATAGTTATTTCTATGGAGGGTGGGTTAAATAAATGAGAAATATTTCCTTTCTTGGTGGTAGCCTATGCTCTGGAGGTAGAGAGGGAAGACTCAGGGATCATAGAAGCAGAACTTATGATTGTACAGATTAGAATACCATGATGGTATATAAAACTCCCTGTGAGATGTGAAAACTTGGCATTCTCCTTGGCCCAGAACTGTGCATATAGGGCTGGTCCACTTCCGAGAGAAGGTGGCTGATGTGGTGGTGTGACTCCCTGGGTCCAGAAAGCCTCACTTGTCTTCTATTGTCATTGTCATGCTTCACGGGGCCTGAAATGTTCACTGGTGGTTATTTCTTTGGTTCTCAGCTTTATTTCTAGAAAACTCCTATTAAAGTTAACTACCACATGTTCTCCCTCATAAGTAGACCCTGAACATTTCTCTTAATACTATTAGAAAGGGTTTGGCAGTAGCTGAAAACTGCCGGCGGCGGGGGAGTGGAGGCACATAACATTAATGAGGTCACCTGATCTCAAACCAGGCAAAGTGGGGACCAAAGGGAGGCCCAAACTTTATCTGTATGATGACCATTTGTATACCTAATCCTGAATTGTACCCCACATCTTTAAAATAAAGTAAAACATTAAATGTCACTTGGAAGATAGCAGGAACATTTAATCATATTTTCACAGACTGGTTTAATCTGCTTCTCTGGGGTTGGCACACAAGATGATTCATTTGATGGGAGATGGATAGGCTCCTCTCTGGGCCATCTTGATGGCAGAAGCTAAGCCGCACAGGGAGGCTATTTTGGGAGGAGAAGTGAGTAGGAGGGAACTAAAGACAAACTGGACCTGTGCTACCATTCTGAGGGCTAGACTACAGCACACGCTGTTTCTTAAAATTCTGCAGCCCCTCTGATCCTCCTCCTTTTTAGTGAATGTCCAGAGCCGAGTAACTGTTCCCTTGGTCCAAGGACTGGGCTATGACAGTGCTGCAGGTGGTGAGGCCTCAGTGGCGCAAGTAGGCTCTGGAAGGGAGACTGTATATTTGTGCCAGCAGAGGGGAAGGGAGATTGATTACCCACCTCTGAGTCCGAGCTACTCCCTACCCTCAATGCATTCTTCTGCCAGGAGCAGGATAATTAGAGTAAATGAGACTTAGCTTAGCTCATTCAACTCCTTGCCAGGCCCCCATAACAAAGCTTTCAAATATGCAATCATTTCTAGCGACCATGGTGGCTTCCCTGTATTTCTTTATCAACTTGTTGAAAAAGGCCAGAGTTGATTCTCTAAGTCTAGCAGAAAATTTGTCTGTAGGTCTATCGAGCCTTAACATTTGGCTTCATTGGAATTTTGATCTTGCGAAAAGTGCCCTATATTTCATTTTTCCATCATTTTTTGTTAGACTAAAAATTCTCCCCACTTTTCCCAATGTTCATTTATCCTTTCGTGCTAACTCATGTGGTGAGTGATACTGATTCATTAATTTGCTCAGCAGAGAGTAACCACCTTCCATGGAGGAGTGGTGGGTAAGAAGAATTCCCAGTGAAGGAGCTAATTTTCCTTGGGCTTCATGGTGGGTGCTGGAGAAGGGTGTGCCGATGGAGAGGCTGCTTTTGTCAAAGCATGGGTCTGGGTGCGAATGAGGGCTCCTTCAGGAACAGGAAGCATATAGGTGTGGCTGGTGGGTGTTTGTGTGGGAGTGGAGGGATATGAGTGAAGACCCTCAGGAATGAGTGAATAAATGAATGAATGAATGATAGAATCTAGAAGTCTATCCTCCTTTCCTAGGGTGGCTGTTCTCTCACCAAGCAGGCTCTATTTGCTTCTCTGCTTCTTCTTAGTGAGCATGCCTAAGTCTCTTGCTCTGAGAAATCTCTCATCAATGGGAGGAGAAAATATAACTAGCATCAATAGTTTCTCATATTTAAGCTGAGGATTCGGCATGAATTCCAGACATGGTTCATATATTTTGGAGAATCAGCACAGTTGTTCATGATAGGTAATGCTCTCTTTTCCTCCCTTCAAATATTTTCTTGGTTAAGATACCATGACTGAAGATTAATGGCTTCCATTATTTTTTCCCTTCCTGCAAGAATCTTTAAACTAGCCTGAACTTTGTGTCAGCTATCATATGAATCATGCCTACTACCGTTTCCCCTTCTGTGCCACATCTTGGGTTAGTATCCTTGAATGACACACTGAAGTACAGAGCAGGGTTAAAAGTGTCAAGTGACAATCAGGCAGAAAACTGATAATTAACAATGACTGACACATCACACTGTGCTTTTATCACAGCAGTCTTAACAAAAATCTTACTTATAAATATTACCTGAAGTGTAATATGTGATATTAATAGGTACATTTTAGCACATCTGGCAGTTCAGTAATTCACCTTCATTTTGGTTATTGTGTGCATTTATTGCAACGAGTTTAATAATAAAAATGACAGTTTTCTTCTAATGAGCACTCACCATATAATAGGCTCAGTTCTAAGCATGTGTTTGCCCATTTATTCTTCACACCAGTCCTAGGACGTAATCACTGAGTGTGGCACCATTTGAGGAAACTGAGGCATAGTGCTGTTAAGTAGCTTGCTCAAGGTCAGAGATAGGATTTGAACTCAGGCCGTTTGGCTCGAAGTTTGTGCTACCAACCTCCATGTTATACTGCTTTACATATTGCTTGAAGCAAAGAGGTAGTTTTGTTATCAAATATTAGGAATGCATCATCCTCCAATTTTTCTCCTACTAAATTTAATTGCCAATTTTTATATATGTCATGTTGTAATGCTTTTGAGAAACTTAGACAAAAAAAAACTACAGAAAAATGGATTATTCTATTCAGGTCTCATTACTTAGAAGAATGGTTTTGACTATAACATGGACGCAAAAGCTTACTGGTTTATGTTGATTTGAAGTGTAATATATATTAGAATCCTGTCACATGCATTATTCATATGAGTCTATATTATATATATGTGCTTAGGAGAGACTGAATTAAAAAACAACAACACAAAGCTCCAACCAAAAATTCCCCTCGTGTGTCATGAGCAAATATGAATATGAGATCTATGTGCCCCAAAGTGTTTTGTTATCTGAACAAAGAACATAAGCTTAATCCCAGCAGAGACCAGAGACCCACATTCCTACTACTTATGCTTTTTAATTTAAATTAGAACTCTTTTTTGCTTTGTTAAGATGAGATAGGCCTTTTTGCCGACTTTTTTTTAAGCAACTATTTTTCTTTCAGTTTACACCATAAGGTGCTGCCACTACAGTGTCAGAATGGGAACTATCAGCAGTTCTCTCCTAGTAGACTAGTACCAAGGTCTAGGGTTTCTTCAGGCAGAGACTAGCACAGTGAAAATAATGGGGCTATTTATCCATGTCTCTTGGAATGGAGTTAATACTCTGCCAGTCCTCATTGGTTTGACATGCTAACACAATGGGTCTGAACCTTTTCTATAGTTTTCCCATGAGTGTCTTCTTTAGCTACATAAACTGCAGGTCAGACAAATTAGTTTATGGGCCTAGAAATCATTCTTGGCCCCGGTTTCGAGACACTTTTTCAGTCAACCATAGCTGCTTGATACTTAAGATTTACTGACAGTTCTTGGTTCATAAAAGGGTTCACATTCCTGAGCTACTTTTCTTTTATCGGGATCATCTTAATTCTTGTTTGTGGGGTTGAGATCAAGGAAATATGAGCAAGGACTGAACTCAGCTATTTGGGTGACCTGGTATACTATGAGCTTCTTAGACAGTGCCTGATGTGATAGCCAACTAACATTAATTGATGGTGATGACAGGAGATCCTCTCTCTAGCCAGAACCTGCTAATACAAGTTTTGATGAATTGAGAAATGCCTGCTGGAAGCCGACTCTTGCTCATTGCATTAATGGTTTTAGGCAAAAGAAGTTTCTAGCATTGGTATGTATATTTTTTAGTTTCCTCTTCCATGACTTTGTTTTGAATAGGGTAAAGAAAAATGTGAACCGTATAATAGTCTCAAGTTGGATCATACTGCGACATCACTGCCTTTGTTTCAGTGTGAGATTTCCCCCGCTATGTGACATCTCTGAGTGCTAAATATTTCAACCCTCAGAAAAATGCCAAGTCACAGAAATCTGTCTCAGGTTATCATGATTATTAGTATTATAGGAGAGAAAGGCAGTACTGGTCTTTTAGGAAGCTCTTGTCATGAATGTATTTTGGAGTGAACATTACCTCCTAACAGATGAACAACTTGAAGTTGAGTCGAACAAAACTTTTTGTGTTTGGAAGGGTCAGGGAGCCAGGGGACAGTCTGTAACTCAGTTATATGTTGACACAGAAAATGTACAAAAGCTGTGAATGCTTCAACTCAAATGACTGGCTGGATGGTTGTGGGTCACTGTCTTGTGTAGTGACATGGTTTCTTCAAAGCTGTAGGAGGTGAGGTCTTCCTATAGGAAATTTCAACATAAGAATGCATGTAAAATGATTTAACATGTCTTAATGTTTAAATTTAGAGTATTCTTGACCATGTCTGTCAACAAATGGAGATTTGGACACGGAGGCTTAAGGGGTTTTTAGTGGAATTTTATTAAAGAGATAAATGCAGAGAGTCTGTGTTGAAGATTCAATGGCAATATTAAGGGCTTGTTTTCCATTTCAGTCTAGATAATCTATGTTATCTTTGAGTAAAGGGGACAACAATTTTAACAACCTGGCTTCCTTAGAAGTTTCCATTCTCATATAGTCACAGTAGGCAGCAGCACTGTCAAATAAACAAAGGTTTAATTAAATAAAAACTATTTAAACAGAGCGGAAATATTCTTCCCTAGCTAGTCACAAATTGGACAATTCAAAGAAAAAGCCCTGGAGGGAAATTGCCAATGGATTACTTTTTTTGTTCTCTGTCTACTGCTATGTTTTCCTTCCTGGTGTCAAATCTCAAGTTGAATTCAGTCAATTATCTATGGCTAACAAAAAGTGCATAAATGTCTCTTCTGTTACTTTTGTTTATATTTCACCACTAAACAAAGCACGTTTTTCTTCCCAGCTGCTTCTTCCTTTGGGAGCCTGTAAGTCCAACAACACAAATAAAATATTGTGTATACTCTATTGTCACTTTGAAAGCATAATGATTGATTTAGTTATTTAAAAGTTTCCTGCAAAGTTTTTTTTTTGGTTGCTAATGTTACACTTGCTACAAAATTTGGTGAAGCAACACATAATTTGCTGAGGATTAGGAAGGATTTGTCATTAGGTTAAGTGAATTAAATACCTCAGGGGTGTGATGTTGGGGTTATGTGTATGTCAATTTCATTTTTTTTCTTTCCTATGTTAGTTACCTCCATAATAATTTCGACTTAATGTTTTCCACAGATCCTTTAGTAACTAAACATTTAGAAGTATGACATAGCAAGTAGTTGATATAACTAACACTAAAATATAATGAGAAATAAGAAAAATATTGTAAAGAAAACAAGGAAAACCAGGGCCCATTGGGAGCATTGTTGACTCTCTCTTATGATTGTTAAGATTTTCTGTGCCAATCCTCTTACCATGAAACATTCTTATATGGTCCAAGTGCCAAGGACCAGAGGAGCTGGGCATCAACTTATCTTCCCAATTTCCCACTGAGCACAGCTATTTTCTTTCAGGTATGAAAACTTTTAATTATACTCCTGAAACCCCATTCCTCTCCTTCATGTCTCAGTCTTCTTTCTGTGAGTGGGTAAAAAGCCTGCCCATCTGAAAAAGCAGCTCCCAAACTGTTCTGGAAAATGATCTGTTTTTCTCCATAAATGATCATCTTAGTTTCAAGTTCATTTCAGGTATATTAAGCCTCCCTCTACTCATACTTAATAACAAATGATGTTACACAAGTTTAGAGTCGAAAGAGATAAAATAACATTGAAGCATATCTAGTTGCTTCAGCGACTTAATGCTTATCTATTTCAGTCAGCGTTATTCCTACTAAAAATAAAAAGAGGGATGAAAATTACCTCAGGCTTTTGCTGTCGTGGTTGCCCTTTGGTTTCTAGGGTGGCTCCGGTCCTTTCATGCCGGTACAGTTGGAATTGCCAAGCCAGGAATAAAGCTTGCTCCAGTTGTAGCTGTGATTTTCCCAGATCACCTGTCCTTTTCCCCCCAGACAATGAAGCTGTGATTTTTTTTTTCCTCTGGCCTTTTGAGGCAGAGTGATTCCAGATAAGCAGATTAATGTGTGGAATATCTCATCTATGTTTTTCCAGCACAGCCCTTTCAGCTTTCCAGAGCCAGTTAGACTTGTTATGAGGAGCTAAGTGATTGGTTGGATCTGGGGCTCAGTTTCATAGATTATAGCCCAGCGTACGAGGAGCACGAGTCCTATAGTTGCCGTATCCAGAGGCCTGCCAGTTCCTGTCTAAATGCATATGTAGTTCGTAATTGAGTTCTAACACGGCCTTGGATGTTTCTGTCCTAAATAGCTGACATTGCATCTTCAAGACTGTGTGAGTAATCCTAATTTTTTTTTTTTAAAGCTCAGTAAATTAATTACATGCCCTGGGAGGGAGTGATTGTGAGCAGAAAAGACTGAACTAGCAGATGATTTGTTTTCAAGGTGCTGTGCTATATGTATCAAGTTCAATGTGATGAATCTTAAAGCTTCTAAAACCTGGCAGGGTTATTCCAGCTTTTGGCCATAAATCACAGTCAAGCTGCATTTTGAAGAAGACTAGTCGATGCATTTACTAGCCCTGTTTGTTTCGTGGGGTCAGTAAAGTGATAAAGGTCCAACATGAACAGGTTAAAACAGGATGCTGGTATCAAAGCAGTGACTTAGACAGCGCTCGAGTGAGGCCAGTTTCAAGGTTTGCCACCCCCACCGTCCAAAACTGAGAGTGAACAGCAAATAATAAGTCCTTTTGGGACACAGGTACAGAGCAGTTAGAACACAGAAAAAAGAAACGGAAAAGAATGGCAGCGATACTTTTCTTCACTGTAATCTGAAGCTGATTGAAGACATATGCTGTGAATAACTAAAAAATTTTTATATGTAAAAAAATGTTCTTCAGTGGTTCTGTTTATGTGGGAGAGAGCTCAATGAGAAACCATGAGCTTGTTTTTAAAAGCCTTATAAGAAGTACATTAAACACAGACACAACCATAACAGAAGAAAGTATGTAGATTGGAATTTGTGGTTGGAGCAAAATACTATTATCCCAGGGAAGCCGTTGTTAGGTTTGTGTAATTGCTGGGGGTAACTTCTGTTGCTAACATGGTTTAAGATAAAACTGGAGCAGACTGAAATGAGAAACGAGAAAACATCAGCATTTTATTACGTTCTAGAGCATACACTGCAGCACAGAATTAATAGTGAGTATAAACTGGTAAATGTAAGCAGTTTACTTTTAAATCATTATTGATTTCTCCTAGCCTATCATAAAAAATAGGACTCTTGCTTATGAAGTTAGTGTTTAGAGATATTTTTCTCCCTTCCAAATAATTTTGGAATAAATGTATAAAAAATAATTTTTATACATTTTCTCAATAGCACGCAGCTAGTCATTTTTTATAATTTTGGACTGCTTTTCGGATTTTATCTAATTTTTCCTCTTTAGACCTATAGATACAATTTGTGCTACATATGAGTCTCAAACATACATCATTTGAACTGTTTTTAAGATTATGAATTCTTGTGGCAAATATAAATGTCTAATAGCTATAGTAATCACTTGCTAGTTTCCATAAAAGCAGCACAGACTCAGAGCAGTTTATTTTTGGTTGCACCTATTTAAATGACTGACAAGATTTAGCCAGTGGGGGAGAAATGTTAGTTGTGTTTTTGCAAAATTTTATGTTTAGATCACATTGGAAATGGAAAGTTTTGCTGTTAGTATTTTTGCTTTCTGAAATATGACCCCCTTTTAGATTATACCAGTGGACGAAATTTATAAAAAAGAAAGAAAAGCAGAATACCTTTCTGAATTAACCAAATATATGTAAAATAAATTTATAGAAATGTAATTCTAATATATTCTTTTAGAAACACATTTACTTTATAAAGAAATGCATTTCTTTATTGAGACTGAAAGCAAGTTCATTTATTGAGTTTCTATAGCCATAGATACTAATAGTAATAGTTGGTTCATTCTTAGTTATACATTCCTAACTGTCTACTAGCTGTAAGAAAGTAGTGCTATAAAAGGAATATAATCCCATCCCTTAAGGTGGTTTGGGGCCCATTTAAGGGTAAGAAGAGGTTGGGATGGAAGCTGCTTTATCTGAATTAGCTTCTGACTTTGAACTTGACTCCTCTTTTTCCCTGGGTCCAGGTAGGACTCGGTGTAGCATTCACATCCCCTTCCAGCTTTTCCCGCCTGCATTCTTTATATTGCCTTGCTTAGATTTTACTGAGTCAAAAATATTGAGTCAAAAAAGCTTAGGTTTCATTGAATCAAATAAAATGACTTATGCCTAATTATCAAACATTCATCAGCTCCCTATACAATTCAGAGGGTATTTAAAAACCAGAGCTCAGTGGATGGATACTAGAAGGACTACAACTTGCACTGGTGCTTCCTCTGGGACTTTCATCTCTTCAGGTCTCAAGATGCCAGGGTCACATCTTTTTCTTGTGAAAGGGCAGGGCATTAAGAAAAAGAGTCAGAGCACCAGGTACTTAGGCTGTGGGCAAGGAAAATATCTCCTAAACAACAATAGTTGATCTTTCTTCTTTCCACTCCTCTCTATTTTTTAAAACCATTTTTGCCTGACTGTGGAAATTCTTTTTCAGATATGATTCTATAAAACTATGCATATCTGCCATAGACAGATGGATTTGACAAAAGATGTATCCAAAAAGGAATGTATCACATCATGAACTTGCTAAGTGTTCATGAATACACACTGGCATTTGGAGACTATTCACACTACCTACTAAAGCAATGACATAAATTCAAATTGAAAAAAAATTCTTGATTGAATTACATTTTTCAGAGGGTTTTTTTGATGAATTTTGTTTTTTTGTTTTTGGAAAAACTTGCTCTTCCCTACAATGTTTTTTTCTTTGTTATTTACAGGAATGATCTGATTACTTAATCTTGCCCAAGAATTATTCCTAGTTGGCATTTTTTTCAAAAGAGTTGCTGTCTCACCTTGAGCATATTTTAAACAAGCAGAGCAAAACAAATGCAAACAAACATCCCCCTCTCAAAGAAAAAAATACATCACAAAGGAGTTAAATACTTTAGTGTTGTATAATTCCTTCCTTTTGTGGAGCAAGACACTGGTGGAGAAGGAGACTTTGTTTAATTTCAAGACAATTAATTATTTTATCTTAATTATATGATGCAAGCAGGTGACAAAATTTTCTCATATATTGATTACCATTCAAAATCGTGCCCCTCAAATTTCTGATTCCAAGAAGCAATACATCTTGAAGTCAGCAGGATCATGCTCAGGTCATGAAATTTTTCCAAGACTTGCTCTCTCTGTCTGTAAAATGAAAATAATGATATCTGTTCTGTTATTTTCCTGGATTGGTTAATATCAGCATCACAATGAGAAAGTACCTGTGAAAGAACATTTTAATGTGAAGTTTTTATTGTGCTTACCATGGTACACTATTATTATTACAGTAGCTCATTGCATTAGAGTTAACACCATATCTTCTAAAACCATACTCCCAGTAATGCATAATACTTTTAAAGGAAAGAAAGTCTTTCCTGTTTGATTTTGAAAGCTTTGGGGCTTCATTCCTGATCTGCCTGTTTTACTTTGAGTATTTAAAATGCCAATAGGCTTACAGTGATAAATAAATTTAGTATTACTGTGAAAACATATTTAGTAAACTCCTAAGAGTCATAAATGTTACTTATTGCAACTATTATCAGCATATTAATAAAAATTATTTCTAAAATATTAATTTTTAAAATGAAAGACATCAGTTGCATTTCTTATTGGTTAATTAACTTCCAAAGCTTTGTCTGCTTCCTCAAACAGAATGAATTTTCTTGTTGGTTAAGCTTGTGCCATATTTTTCCTTCCACTTAGATATAGCACTAAGTCAATAGATAAAAATTCCTTCACAGCCTACGTTTAGAAATGTTAATGATGACGTTTTAGAGGACATCGTTTCCTCACAGGAAAAAGTAAATTGGACAATTATGGTGACAGATGTTTTGGATTTTAAAATTCCTGTCTTGATTCTCATTATTAAATTTTACTAATAGAATAATGAAGTAGGTTTTAAGGTGATGCTTATTCCTAGGTCTTTTCATCTCAGGTATAAAATGAATAGTCAAAATGATTTTCGGAATGATTTAGAAACTTCAGTCAGCAGTTTTGAATCCCAAATTTTTAGATGGTTCTACTTTGGAAGATAATTATGCTTTTGGATTATTGGTTGCAGCTGTGTTCTACATTTCAGGACACACTGAGCTCACTGTTGTTATGAGTTTGATTGTTTGCTAACAGCAGTATTGGTTAGGGAAGCAGTTACCCATTTCACCTGTATAACTCTTTTTAAAAATCGATAAATTTACAGTGGGAGTACAATAAGTAAGATATATACAAACGGAATGGGTTCTCTTCCATTTTTTATCTCATAGAGCCCACCTGGCAATTCATGAGGGAACTTTCTAGAAATAGAAGAATTTCATTTGTCGTACTGTTTCAAAACTGGATCTGAGACTATTGTCCTTTCTTGTACCTTCGATGATTGACTAAGAACACTTCTTCAGTAATTTAAAATTGTAGTGAAATAATGTTTAACAAAATTTCTTAATAACAATTGATTAATTCAGCAAAAAAATTAGGAGTTAGGTGCTAGAACACAAATATGAATAAAACTTGGTTTCCTCAAGGAATTTACAGCCTAGTAGACATTTATTTCATGTTTGCAGCACTTTTAGTGTAATACTGGAAGAAGTAGTGTTAACTTTGAGTTATTTTCTCCTCTCCTTAAAGTATTTAGTATGTTAATAATGAAGGAATGATTTGCCTGTAGTATATACAAAAAATGCTGGGTAGAAATATGTAAATTTTCTTATAAAATTATACTTTCAAGAGTATCCAACCTTTTTTAATCCAGTAAACATATGTTGTAGACAAAGAAATAGACCCAAGATGTTAATTGGATTTGTTTAATGTTCACACACAGTAGAACTGAGGCAGAAATCTAGAGTACCTGGGACTAGAATCCAGATCTATGCCTTCTCATTTTAGAATGTATGATATACTGACACTAGATATTGCTACTTAAAATTGCTAAAACAAAATTGATACGTAGCTATATCTTTTGCAGCTAGGGTAATTATCTAAGAACATGATATTTGATAGAAGATATGTCAATAAGATCTCATATATACAATAATGATATAAAACCTAAAATCAACAGGAAAGGAATAAAATTTCATTCCAGAAACACATTTCCAGCTCTCTAGTTCTCCTTCTCAGTCTCTACATTTTAGTTTTGGTAACATTAGCTGCTGTAACATATAAACTCTGAAATCTCATTGGCTTATCCTAGAAGTTTCTCACCCAGCCAAAACCTAAAATGGGTATTCTTTTTTTTTTTTTTTTTTTTGAGTCAGAATCTCACTGTCGCCCAGGCTGGAGTGCAGTGGCACACTCTCGGCCACTGCAACCTCGACCTGCTGGGCTCAGGTGATCCTTCCGCCTCAGCCTTCCAAGTAACTGGAACTACAGGTGTGCACCACCATGCCGGA